GCTTGGCCTGCTGTGTTCATGCAGCTCTGCACCTTGTTATCTCTATTATAGCAAACAGGATTTGGTTTTTGAAGCCACATTTTCAACTTTGGAACAATTTTGCATGCAAGTAACTTGTAAATGTGTGGTTGTTGCAGAATCTGGGCCACAGTATAAACTGCTCAATTTGACACCAGCAAGAACTGGTTAATTTTAAATGGTTCCAGTATAAGAGACTGAATAGTAGAAAATTACCAAAGAAATCTGTCTGTCTTTGTTCCACATGTAATATGAGCCTGAACAAATTCTTCTTATAGCAGAAGTAGCAGTTCTCAGTTTGGAAAGAAAAGTATTCTTTGGCTCAGGATTTACTTTGCAGTTAACTTTTGCGCAACTGGGTAAAACTGTCGGTATCTGGATCTAAGGTTAACAATTAGTGTGGTTCTGTAATTTAGGAATGTTGAAGATAACAAATTGCATAAAAGACATCATTCTGACTCAGAAAATCAAGTGAGATCGTGATGCATGAGAAGAAACCTTTCTGATGTGTGAAAATAAGGCATAGCCTGACATTAGGTTCGTGGCTTCAATCCACTTAAGTACTTGTTTCCAACTGAATGTTCCTGCACCACGCCTCCCCTACTTAGAACTCGGACTCACTGGACATGATGTATTGATGGCAGATGTGGGCCCCACTTGAGAAAAGGCCAATATGATGAGAGGGAGAAATTTCATTTACATTTTCAGCCAGCTCCACAAGATCATGGCGGTGGGATGGAAGAAGGCTGGGTGAGAGGGGTTGCAGTGACAGGGGAGAGTGATACCCAACCACTTGTGACCCCTCTCCTAAAGCCCTAAACCTCAGCAGGGTGGCAGTCGTGGCTAGAGTTCCCATGGCAGGATGTTAAAGCCAGCTTCTTCATTTGCTGGCTCCCCATTATGGATTAGTGAAAGTCAGTGTGTGAAACAGTGAGAATGAACCCCTCCATGATCATTCTGTGTGACAGAAAGGGCCAGTAACCTGAACTTGTTGTTCCCAAGAGGTTGAAATAACATTATTGCAGAATAAAAGACGCCTTTCTTGAACCATTGAAAGTCTTTTAAATCTGGAATCTTCCATTTTAAGAGCTTATGCAAATATGTACTCCAGATTGATCTAGTTTTGAAAAAAGCAGCCACATAATGAGATAGGACAGCTCTGAAATTGTCTTGCACACAGTAAATAGTAATTGCAGTGGTTGAAATGCACCATGCAAAGTCATCTATCTGATGGAATAGCCAACTGGACTACTTGTCGAAAATAATAAGTGTCAAAATAGAGAATGTTTTGCAGCTTGTTACATAAGGTCCATGATTAAAAAGCCAGTTCAGTTGATGCTAAGAGGAGGCTGCAGGCTGACATAATAAATAATCATTCTTTGTTCTACATTGACAGTTCCCTCGGGGCAGGAGCTAACTGAACTGTTAACTTTGCCGGATCAAGCACCACAGATTGTGATGAAGCTGACTGAAGCCTTGGAGAAGAAAGGTACTGTTTTTACAATTCTCCCAGTTGACCTTCCTTGAACACAAATGCAGGCATACACCAACATGTAAACCCAGAGGCACACAAAGGCCATCATCAAAGTCTGGGCTGGCCAGTTGCCTCAGAGTCAAGTTGTCATGGATTCAAGTTGCAGTCCAAGGCTTGAGCATGTAAAGTAAGGATTTATTACTGAAGGAGAGCTATGTAAACGTACCCGTTCAGCTAGAATTTGAAGATTTTCTCACATTATTCACAGGAAAGTAAAAGCTTCTCCTGATGCTACATAAAATACATTATTCATTTTGTGAACATGCTTCCTGGTGTAGCCTTTGAGATCTCACTGTTGTACTCAGTTGCATAACAATAATTTCGCTAAAATTAATTCATTGAGTGTTACTGAGAGATGTGTAAGCTATAATAAAAACAAAACCAAAACTCTGGAAGTACTCAGCAGGTCATGCAGCATCTGGGAAGAGAAACAGAGTCGATACAGTGTGGAGCTGGAGGAACACAGCAGGTCAGGCAGCATCAGAGGAGCAGGAAAATCGATGTTTTGGGTTCACACCCTTCATCAGGACTCAGAGAAACTTAATTACCATTTCAGGATGACAAGATTGAAAGATGATACTTGCTCAGGAGGCTAAGGATATTCAGCATGTCCACAAAGACTTCTCCTAATTTTTATAGATGCATCCTAGAAAGCATCCTATCTGGATGCAACACGGTGTGGTATGGCAAACGCTCTTCCCAAGGCAATAGAATGGGTGAGGGCAGGAGGGAGGCAAAAGGGAAGGTTGCTGATAAGGTGGAGGTCAGGAGAGGCTAACTAACAAAAGATTGAAGATACAAAAGCCAAAGAGAGTGGTAGCAAGTATAGTAAAGAGACAAAGGTTGTGTGCAGATAGGGTGTGAATGGCACCTATCTGAAGGCAACATGGAGGCATAAGGAAAAACACATCAGCAAACAAAAACTAAAGAAAGTGCAAGGTGGAGAGAGGTTAATATCTAAAGTTTGCAGTGCTGATTCCAGAAGGCCATTGAGTGCTGAGATGAAAGATGAGCAGCTCTTTCTCAAGCTTATGTTGAATTTCACTGGAACATTCAGCAATCCATTGACAGAAAGGTCAGAGTGGAAGTATGGCAGAGAATTAAAATGACAAATGACAAGATCAGAGGATTAGATAGGGTGGACAGTGGGAGCCTTTTTCCTCGGATGGTGATGGCTAGCACGAGGGGACATAGCTTTAAATTGAAGGGTGATTGATATAGGACAGATGTCAGAGGTAGGTTCTTTACTCAGAGAGTAGTAAGGGCGTGGAATGCCCTGCCTGCAAAAGTAGTAGACTCGCCCACTTTAAGGGCATTTAAATGGTCATTGGATAAACATATGGATGATAATGGAATAGTTTAGGTTAGATGGGCTTCAGATTGGTTTCACAGGCCGGCGCAACATCGAGGGCCGAAGGGCCTGTACTGCGCTGTAATGTTCTATGTTCTATGTTCTATGTTCTAAGAAACTCAGGGTCACGCTTGTGGACTGAATAGACTAACCACATGGACACCCGTCAATTGTGGCAAGGCCTACACAACATAATGGGCTACAAAGCAAAGTTGAACAAAATCGTAGGCAACAGTACGTCCCTACCCAATAGTTCAATGCATTCTACGCTCGCTTTGAACAGAAGGTCAGTGAAATGATGTCATCTATCCCAACAGCCTCAGATGCACCTGTACCCACGGTCACTGCTGCAGACGTTAGATTGGCTTCTTGAGAGTGAACCCACGGAAAGCGATTGGCCCAGATGGAGTCCCGAGCTGTACACTCAGATCCTGTGCGGAGCAGCTGGCGGGAGTACTTCCAGACATCTTAAACCTGTTCTTATTACAATCTGAAGTCCCCACCTGCATCAAGAAGACCACCATCATCCCAGTGCAAAAGGAAATCATGCAGTGTACCTCAATGACTGCCCAGTGGCTCTGACCTCCATAATTATGAAATGCTCTAAGAGGTTAATCATGGTTCACATCAACTCCAGCCTACCAACTTGACTTGACCCTTGGTCTCGGCTTCCCACGCTGTAACTGGATTCTCAACTTCCTGACCCATAGACTGTAATCAGTAAGGATAGGTGACAACATCTCCTCCATCGAATTCCTCAACACTGGTGCTCCGCAAGGCTCTGTACTCAGCCCCCTACTATATTCCCTATACACTCACGACTCTGTGGCTACTTTAGCCCTAACTCCATTGCTGATGACACCACCTTTGCAGGTCGGATCTCAAACAACGACGAGACAGAATATGGGAAAATGATTGAGTATTTATGGCATGGTGTAAAGATAACAGTCTCTCCATCAGTGTCTGCAAAGCGAAGGAGCTGGTCTTTGACTTTTGGAAGAGAGTAGAGGGCAGACCCCTGTCTGCATCATGGTGCTGAGGTGGAGATCATTGAGTGTGTCAAGTTCATGGAGAGATGATCACTAGCAGTCTGTCCTGGTCCACCCATGTTGATGCAATAGTCAAGAAAGCACATCAACATTTCTACTTGCTCAGGAGGCTAAGGAAATTCAGCATATCCACAAAGACTTCTCCTAATTTTTATAGATGCATCCCAGAAAGCATCCTACCTGGATGCAATACAGTGTGATATGGCAAACGGTCTTCCCATGACTGCAAGAAACTACAGAGAGTTGTGAACACAGCCCAATCCATCAAGCAAACCAGCCTTCTATCCATTGACTCCATCAATATTTCTCTCAGAAAAGCAACCAACATAATCAAAGACCACTCCCACCCTGGTTGTACTCTCTTCCACCTTCTTCCATCAGGCAGGAGATATACCAATTTGAATACAATTATGAACAGCTTCAAGAACAGCTTCTTCCCCGCCGCTATCAGACTTTTGAATGGACCTCTCAAATGTTAATTTTGATCTCTCTGTCTGCACCTTCTCTGCAGCTGTAACATTGTATTCTCCACTCTGTTCTGCTCCCATGGTGCACTTTGTATGGTACAATCTGCCTGTACAACACACAAAACAACACTTTTCACTGGATCTTGGTACATCTGACAGCAATACATCAAACAAATGGAAAGTGGTATTCCGCAAAGTGGTCTCTCCCCAGCGTAGAAGGGACCACCATACTGTAAACTGAAAATGCAGTATACTAAACTGAAAGAATAACAAGCAAATCATTTTCACTTGAAAGGAGTATTTGGTGCCTAGGATGGTGAGAAAGGGGAAGTGAAAGGGGAGCTGTTGCATCTGCACTTGCACAGAAGGATGATATAGGGAAGGGAGAGGGAATTGGGGTGACTGAGGAGTGGAACAGGGTGTCATGCAGGGAATAGTCCCCTTGGAATGCTGAAAAGGGAGGGCAGGGCAAGATGTGTTTGATAGTGGTGTCACAGTGGAGCCAGCGTAAAATGGCAGAAGACAATTTGTTGAATACGGAAACTAGCAAGGTGAAGGTGAGGAGGAGGGGAACCCTAGCGTGGTTTAAGGAAGGAGGGGAAGAGGTGAGAGCAGAAGTATGTAAAATGGATTGTACGTGGTGAAGGGCCCTCAAAACTATGCTGGGTGGGACATCCTTGGTTAAGGGGAAAAAAAGAGATATCAAATGCGCTGTCATGGAAGATTGCATCACTTGATGCAACAGAAATGGGAAAACTGGGGGAATGTTAGCAATTAGAGACTATGTGGCAGGGGCTTGCTGGATCATGACTGACCTTACCACAGCAGATCACGTTATAAGATCCATCTGATGCTCTTGCTACCAGTGTGCTGTCTTCTGGTAGGGACCTACATGCTTTGTTTAATGTGGTAGAAGAAAGCTAGAGTAAATGGCAATAGTAAGGGAAGGCAGCTGGAGTAATCAAACAGACCCTCCCTGGACAGCCTTTGGGGGAAAGGAGGCCTTGTGGGAGGAGGATCAGGCAGATAAAGGATTTCTTCAACTAGATGTAAACCACAGGCTTAATTTCATGTAAATACTGTGTCTTCCTTGTTAAACCTCCCTTCATGCTTGTGATGATATGGTGCCAGCACATAAAGAATCCCTGCTTCATGATCTTTGGGCAATCTGTGTATTCAAATCTTATGTTACACTGTAAATGCCTTTGTATGACAATGCCCGAACTGCATGGACTTCCTAGCTCACGCTCAACACTGCATGTCTCCTATCAGGTCTGAAATATGTTTTACTATTGACAATAGACTCTGCCTTGTGGAATACTGGCTTGAGGTTCTCTTCTGCAATGTCCTTGAATGTTCACCTCTTCCAGCTGCTTTTTAAAGCTATGCCTAAAGAAACTTCAGACCTCTCCAGTTGTCAGCATTTCATACACGAGAGCTAAATGAATTCTGCGCTGCTTGCCACAATATTGTAAAAGGAATCCTCACCATAGGGCAACCACAGTAAGGTTCACCTGGTAGATTTGGTGCCATTTTCCTGGTCAGGTAGACAGGTAGAGAAAAGTAGCATCTGAAAGTTTTGTGGGAAGAACCTTCTGTCTTAAACAAGATGCAGTTGCAACCAAGTATGGGTTACATTGATATGATAGACATTGTTGCTGAGATTTAGGGGAAGACCTTGATGTTAAGTCTTAATCTTACAAAATCCAAGGCTGTTCACCTGCTGAACTCCACGTGACATCATCGTATTGGGTGATGCTTAATGCTCTCTTCAATATTAACTCTTTTACACCCTTACAGCCTTATAAATGATGCTGCCATGTTATTTCCACTCTTATTAGCTTCATTGTCCCCTGTGAAATAAATCTAAAATTAGATCATTGGTGAGCTGCGTTCTTGAACCTCAAAATTTGGAGTGGAGGGACATTCGTAGCACAGACCAAAAGGGAGATCCAGGAAATTGACCCAGTTACAGTAAAAGATTGGTAATACAGATCCGATTCAGGACTTGAAGAGGCACTTAAGTTCGTGGTGTTCCCATGCATCTGCAACCCTTGTTTTGTAGTGGTTTAGGGCTTGGAAGTTGCTGTCAGATGACTCTTAGTGAGTCACTGTAGTGTATTTTGTAGATGATACACACTGCTGCCATTGTGTGTTGGTGTGGAAGGGAGTATTAAAGGTGATGGATAGGGTGCTAATCTGTGAACTAATTTGTCCAGGATGGTTTCAAGTTTGTTAAGTATTGTTGGAGCTGTGCCCATCTAAGCAAGTGGAGAATATTCCATTACACCTCTGAGTTGCCTTGTAGATGTGGATCAAGCATTGGCGAGACAGGAGGTGAGTTACTGGTTACAGAATTCCTAGCTTTTCGCTTGATCTAATAGCCACAGTGTTCATAATACTGTTGAAGTTCAGTTTCTAGTTGATGTTTACTCCCAGGATGTTGATAATGGTGGCTATAGCAATGGTAATACCATTGTATCTCAAAGGGAAGTGATTAGATTCTCTTTTGTTGCAGCAGTCATTGCCTGATATTTGTTTGACCTGAATAGTTCTTGTCGCTTTATCATCCCAAGCCTGGATATTTTCCAGGTCTTGCTGCATTGGGACACGGACTGCTTCAGTATTGGAAATGTTTTTGAACGGTGCTGAGCATTGTGAAATCATCAGCAAACATCCCCAGTTCAGACCTTAAGTTAGAAGAAAGTTCATTGGTGAGGCAGCTAAATATAGTTGAGCCTAGGAAACTAAACTGAAGAACTGCAGCAGTGATATACTGGGTCTGAGATGTTTGACTTCCTGCAACCATAACCTATCTTCCTTTGTGCCAGGTATGACTCCAGCCAATACCTATTTTTCCCCTGATTTCTAGGTTTGTTAGAGCTCCTTGATGCCATGCTCAATCAAATACTGCCTTAATATCAAGGGTAGACACTCTCACCTCACTTCTGCAGTTCAGTTACTTTGTCCTTGTTTAGACTAAGGCTGTTTGGAACTGAGTGAACCTGGCAGAACCCAAACTGAGCATCAGTGAGCAGGTTATTCCTGTACAGATGCTGCTTGGAGCACTGTTGATGACCCTGTCCATCACTTCGCTGATGCTGGGGAGCAGACTGATTGACATCCATTGCCTTCAAGGAGGTGGCTTGTAGATGCCTGATTTCCAGATGTGGGGGCCAAGTCCAAGATCGTTTACATGCTACTTTTTTTTGAATCAGGACAAGTTTTAAAACTCCTGAAGGGAAATGGCAGTATTCAAAATCACAGCAGCACCCAGTCACTACAATAGCTTCCTGTCTATCATGTAGTATTAGATAATAATTCAGATGAATGGTTCTTTTTTAACTGTGTACAGCAGAGGGTGCCCTTTAAATTTGTTGTGTAGCTAATTTTCAGTATGTAACCTGCCCTCAAGGTCATTCATTTGATTCATTATGAAATACAACTGTCTCTAAGGCAATAAATGTAACTGCAGATTTCAAATTAACTGGCATAATCATTGTGTTACTGAGAACTCTTAAAATTGATTCATTCTACTATTTTTGTCTATAGCTTTACCTATGTTTTCTGCACAGTTAATTGTTTGCTTAGTCACTTTATTTCACAAGCAGAATCAAAAGAATGAATGAAAGATTTGTGACAAATTTTGGAGGTGCAAGTGATATTGATGAAATGTGTTTGCACCTGAGGGTTTTAGAAAAAGGATCCAGAGGAGGTCTTGAGCCTGCTCAGCTCTTGCTGATCTGATTGGCCTTTTACTCCATTTTTCTGCCTATCCTCAATAACCCTTGACTCCCTCCAGCTTTTAGGAACATTAATTGGTGTGAGAGAGCAAATACTGTGTACCCACAGCACCGATTGCAATTTTGGTGCCTTCACTCAGGATGAGCTGTACTTTGGCATAAAGCCCAAAAGTTATTGATGGTTTCTGTTGACATTGAAAATCGATAGCTTGTTTGACCTTCCTCAACTATGAACATTCAGCAATAAAGAGAGTGCTGCCAGGGAGAACACACTGCATGAAGAACTCCTGATTTCCTGGAGTTCAGTGGGACTGTCATAAAAGTATACTGGAAAGTATTTTCATTGTTTTTGTGGTGTCATGAGACTGCTAATGTCTCTGCCTAGCAGCTTTTAGGTAGTCTTTTTGGCTTCTTCAGTGTCAGGTGCCCTGGATACACTGCTAGTACCGTAGATTCCAAACCAGCAACCTAGCATTCACCTGATCTTGGAATGCAGTCTAAAGTCGGTGGCTGAGGATTCTAGTACTCCCTTTTGGTACAGATACCAGGATATAACTCACTATCATAGATTTTTGTGGTAGGTAGTTCTGTTGTTGCATTCTAAGTTTGTACAATGTAATGATATATATTCCCAACTGAATTGAACTTTGTTCTTTGTCTCTGAAAGGTGCAGAAAATGATACCCTCTATAGGCCTCCTCCTGGCTCACCAAGTGGTTTGGAACTCAAGGAAGCACTCGAAACTGGTAAGAAACTAAGAATTGAAAACCAAACTTTTCTACTGCCTTTTCTGCTGGGACAATGGGGGCGCTGGGCTTCCTCTGTTAACTCGGAATCCAATTCACGTTTGAACTTGTGTTTCAAGCTGGTATTCGCACTTGTTGTTTTATAGAGGGGTCACTTAATGGTAATCAGAACAAAAATAAAGAGTTTCTCCTCTGAAGCCCTCCTGCAACCAACTGCAGCATCTAAAGTTCTGCAGTTCTGAGGAAGGGTCACCAGACCCAAAACGTTAACTCTGATTTTTTCTTCACAGATGCTGCCAGACCTGCTGAGCTTTTACAGTAGCTTCTGTTTTCGTTCCTGATTTACAGCATCTGCAGTTCTTTTGGTTTTTATGCAGCATCTAAAGTATCAACCTTGTTTAAACCATAATGTATACAGAATGGGAATCAAAACTGAAATCTTCCAGGTTTGAATTGATATGTTAGCTTTGAAACTGGGCCTTTAGTAGGTTATTGGATGAATTTTATTAAACTATCATTTTGTGCTCCAATTATTGTTTCTCCATTAAAGAAACAATAAAGGTCATAGTTATTGTTGTCATGATGAAAGGCAATGCCTTAATTTACTATAATCACAAGAATCTCTTTTATTTCTTGATAAGGTGGTGTAGAATTTCCATTGGGGTGTCTGCTGATCTCCCGCTGTGGCATGAGCAGAATTTCAAGAGAAACAGTGTAGAGCATTATTTGGGTTGCTGCCAAAGTTATTCTGGAGAGCAGGAAAACTGCCATGGAAATTCAAAATTGCTATGTTTAATTAAACACTGTTATACTCTTATTATTTATCACTGCCTTTGCAATTGTGGTAAATACTAATTTATTCCCACCATTACTTATTTTGCAAGGAATTTGACAGCTTGCTTTTGTGCTATATGCTTTTTTGGTAGATGTAGAAGAGTCACATACATTGATTGCCATTGTCTGTATTGAATCTGAGCAAAGGGAACAGACTGTTAGCTGTGTTTTCAGCCAACTCACTCCTGCTGATCTGCAAAGAGTTGAGGACCAGCTGGGTGATGAATACAATTTTTAAAAAAAACTGCTCCCATACTAAATGTTCCAAGGGCCATTTGTAAACTGGAAATCCCTTCTAACTGGAGGAGAATCAGAAGTGAGTCCATGACAGAGTAAATCCTGTTGAGGTGTTGGGCAACAGCTTTCAGGTACATCACTGTCCCCATTAATTAAATGTTTTTTTCACCTTGAAGCTCATTACCAGAGAGAGCAGAAGATTCCAACCTCAGGGATGCAATCCCATAAATCAGTTTGACATTTTATTTCAGGACTCACAAGTGCCACCTTGTTAGAATTACTGTCCCTGTGATGTGTTAAACTGACTATGAGCAGCTTGTTCTGCTGGCTTACATAAACTTTAAAGATCCCACTTTACTGTTGGAAGAGGATTTGGGAACCATTTGGTATCTTAGCAGAAAGGAGCACTCATTCTGCCAGTGGCAGGCATGTGTTAATATCACATTTAGCGTTTGATTTTGATACTCATGCTGTTTCTCCTTTTTCCTTGAGAATCATTCGAAAGGTGCACTTTGCCAGCTCCTCCATTGGTCAAGGTGGAAGCGCTGTGTCTTACAGCTGCAGGATGAGTCTCTAAATTGTTCTCTTCCATTACATTTCTAGTCAAAAATTCTTTACATTAATTTCACAAATTTATTCTCAGCCATGAATATGGTTTTGTTTGCCTTGTGCCAAGAATGCTTGGCTGTTAAGCTTAAATGCAGGCAGGTCCAACACCAACCCCCCGCCCCTCCCCCACCCCCCCCTCCCCCGTTATGTATCAAAAGTTCAGAACATTGCCCTGGGAATTCCAATTTGTGGAGGAAATAAGTCAGCAATTAGGTCTTTGTGGAGCCAGGAATTTCTGTCAGGCATAATTTCACTGGCAATGCACATCAACATGAATTCTGTTTTAGGGAAGCAGAAAGGAACATTTACTCTCCCAGTGGTAAATGCATGTTCATGTCAAAAACAGCATGAGGTGATGTTACTCATCCTGACTCCTGGCTCTTTCTCCTTCTCACCTGACAACAGGTGGCATTGTTTGAAAGGTACAGTTTGCCAGGATCCCCATTCGTCAAGGTGAATGTATTTGGTTAATAAAATGCTAGTCCATTGAGATTGCACATATTGCAAGTTCCAAACACAAATGCTCCTCATTGACATGACTAACAACAGTTCCCAGTCCCTAAATCTTCAGCTGATTTATGATGACAGGCAAAACTTTTTGCATGAGAATTTACAACATGCTGGAAACATCGGTAGTGCAGAGAAGAGTTAATATGTACAATGTGAATTGAATATACCAATTATGTTCTATGAAAATTATGTCTGGATAAATTGTATGCCTTGAAACTTGGGGTTTAGTTCCATTTCACAATATTTCACAGAATTACATTAAATCTTATCCCTGCATAGAAATTGACCATTCCATCCAACAGATCCTTCATAATTGCCTTGTGTTAATAATGCCTTGATGCAATACTTGGAAGCAGGCAGATTGACTGTTTCAAGTTCCTTGGGAATAAAGTCACTTTAATGCCCTCAGAAACCAAGAGTCTGACATAACATTTCCTGATGTTGAAAGCGGGGCCTTTAGAAATTAGATGCCAAGTTGTGTGCTTAAAATTCCATATATGGACAATAAGATGAATGAAGAACTGCTGAAAAATTGTGACAGCACAGAAAATTCTAAATAATGACATGTGGAAAAGAAAATTTCAGCCTTTAGGCCATTTGATCAGAACTGAAAAGTTACATAGTTCTCTCCAAGCTGGGCAAGTGGAGGAGAGCAGAAAGGTCTGTCGTTGGTTGGTAGATGTTACAGAGCAGTTGCAGATGAGCTACAATGGGAGTGGTGAGATGGTGCAAGGTGGACCAGCATAGCATACCATGCCACCAGACCTCCTGGCAGGAGCAGCTACAAGCAACAGCAGGAAAATGCTTAGTACATGATGTACAGGCAGCAGGTTCAATACAGCTGCTGACTGACAGCCGAGAGACCAATTACATTTGGCACAATATTGTGGATCAATAGAGTGCAATTGTTTTGAAGTGCTGGTTGATCAAAGATTTGTCTCCCCAATAGAACCACTCCCAGATCTTAAAATCCTTGGTTTGTATAGATGTCCACCACGCCTTAATCCTAAACTTCAATATCAGGATATAACTTGATTCCCCAATTATAAAAGAGAAACAAACACTAAAGAGCCCTTACCTCAAGCACAAAAGATATTTGAATAACTGTGGCAACATACAAGTTTTTGTTTTATTCGTTCATGCAATGTGGGCATAGCTGGTAAGGTCAATATTTGTTACCCATCCATAACGGCTCTTGAGAAGGTGTTGGCGAGGCAGGTTCTTGAACTGCTGCACTCCATCTGGTGTCAGTACATCCACAGTGCTTTTAGGTTGGGAGTTCCAGGATTCTGATTAATGAAGTAACAATGATATAGTTTCAAGTCAGGATATTGCATGTGTTGGAGGCGAACTTGCTTCTGGTGGTATTCTCAGCATTTGCTGCCCTATCTTTCTATATGGTAAAAAACACAGGCTTGGAAGGTGCAGTCAAAACAGCTGCTCATAGATGATGCAATCTGTTACCATGATTCACTGATGATGAAGGGAATGCATACTTGAGATGGTAGATTGGATACCAATCAATGGGGTTCCTTTGTCCTGTATGATTGCAAACTTTGTTGAGTGGTATTAGAGCTGCACTGATCCAAGTAAGTGCAGAGCATTCCATCTCACTCCTCACTTGGGCTTTGTAGATGAAGGAAAGTCTTTAGGGAGTCAGGAAGTAAATAAATTGTGGCAGAATTCCCAAACTCTGACATGCTCCTGTTTATGGTCGCTCACTGTTCTGTTTACAGACGGGGGAACCTGTAGGAACTCTTAGTTTATTCTGCTGCCTGTCCCCAGCTCCCAAACTGTCTGCAATTTTATAGGGAGGGAAAATTGTAACTCCCACCATTTTGTCCCCTCGCCCTCATGCCTTCATTCCACTTTGAGACCTTGCATCTACCTAGTTCTGTGGGACCCAGGACTCGGAGTCTGGAAACAGCCTGTGGTTCTAGCAGTAGCCATTGCTTTGGGTGGGAAACACTGCCATTTGGAAATCCTGTCCGGTATTCATGTGACTGGTCCAGTGAAGTTTCCGGTCAATGATAACTCCTGGTATGTTGATAATGGAGGTTTCAGTGCTGGAAATTCCATTGAATCTCAAGGGAAGATGATTAGGTTCTCCTGTTAAAGATCACCATTGCCTCGTATTTGTGTGGTGCAACTGTTATTTGCCACTTATCAGTCGAATTATTAAAGTGTAGGTCATACAGTCATGGAGTCACACAGCATGGAAAAGACCCTTCGATTCAACTTGTCCATGCCGACCAAGTTCCCCAAATGAAACTAGTCCTAATTGCCTGTGTTTGGCTCATATTCCTCTAAATCTTTATGACTTATATACCTTCTAAATGTCTTTTAAATATTATAACTATGCCTGTACCTACCACTTCCTCTGGCAGTTCATTCCACATACAAAACCATCCTCTGTATGAACAAATCGCCCCTCAGGTCCATTTAAATCTTTCTCCTCTTACCTTAAAAATATGCCCTCTAGTTTAGAACTCCAAAAGTGCCTTCACCAATGTCCTGTACAACCGCAACATGACATTCCACCCCCTATACCCAGTCGTCTGAGCAATGAAGACAAACATGCCAGATGCCGCCGTTATCACTCTGTCTACCTGTGATGCAACTTTCAAAGAAATTTGTACCTGAACCCCAAGGTTTCTCTATTAGACAACTTCTCAGGGCCCTACCATTAACTGTGTAAGTCTTGCCCATGGTCTTGCTGTATTTGGGCATTCAGAGCTTCAGTGTCTCAGGAGTTGTGAATGGTCCTGAATGCTGTGCGATCATCGGTGAACATTTTCACTTTTGACCTT